GATGGAATGATATTAATACTTTTTTGTATTTTATTATAATTGTTGTTATAATTGTTTTAGATTTTAGTGTTATTAATTTATTGTGTTGTTAAATTGGTACATGTTATTTAATTGAATTATTAAAATGATTCAAAAATTAATAACTACAAAAATATTCACTCGATTTTTACTCGACTTCCTATCCTATTAATTTAGCCCGAAGTTGGGTAGAAATACCACACTTAATCAGGTAGGATAGACCAAGAAATTTTTTTTCCACAAAATATCGGATAGGAAGACTGAAAACTATATTTCCTACCCATAGGGTAGGGTGAACGCCCCTAATTGTGTTCATGTTATTACCTAAGAAAAAAAAAAGTTATTTAATGAGTTATTAGTATCAAATATTATTTCAACCACTTATTATACATTTACGTGTATTTATCAATTGTGCTAATTTTAAAAACATGTTGTGATTGTATTGATGTGTGAAAATGACAATATCCATTAAATTGGTCATGAGTTGCTATTCATTTGTTTTTTAATTTTTAATTTTTTAAAATACAACAATATATTTTATGCACAGTTATTTTAGTCACCGGTAGAGAGAGCCCGGGGCTCCTCCCCTTACTTGAAAGTTTACAGTTTCATTTTCTATTTCACTCTCTGATGTGGGTTCTTTTTATCCTTCTCTTACGCTGCTATTTAACTATCGGTCATTCAGGAGTATTTGGCCTTATAAGATTGTCCTTTCTAATTCACACGAGATACCGGGTGCCCCTAGTGTAGATATTTTAAAACCGGAATCTAGAGAGAACTTGTAATGAAAAATAGTCATCAAATAGGGACATGCCACTTGGACTATATGTTATTTACATTTTTTTATTTTTGTTTCGTATCATGTTCGTGTTATTATCTAAAAAAAATTATTTAATATATTATGAGTGTCAAATATTAATTCAACTAACTTATCATATGTATTTATTGATCGTGTCAATTTTAGAATCATATCGTATTTGTGATGATAGTCGGATCGACAAAAAGCCATTGAATTGGCCATGAGTTTTTATTCATTTGATTTTCGATTTTGGATTTTTTGAAATACAATACTATGTTTTATGCACAGTAGTCTTAGTCACTAGTGGAGATATTTTAAAGGGTATTTCGCACTTTGCATCCTAAAAATCTTAAGATTTTTATTTTATAACTTCAAATATTAAATTTTATATATTGTACCCTTAATATATCAAAAATTTTGTAGTATGACCATTATGTTAACTTCTATTATTTTTTTTGTCAAAAGTTAACCTATTGACACTGATGAAAAACTAACAAAAATTTCACATGTCACATTTTAACACTTTTGATACAAGTCCAATATTGAGGGTACAAATTAAAAATTTTAAAATCTTTTAGAATACAAAATAAAATTCGCCCTACTTTAAAACAGGAATCTAGAGAGAATTTACAATGAAAAACAGCCATCAAATAAATTTGGTTTCTTGACCAATTATTGAATATATTTGCCTTCAATTTTACTTGGACTAGTTTGTTTTTAGACCAGGTTACACATGCAAACACAAAAGGCAAAGAACATAAACTATACTATAGTTAGTTGATGGACTTTAGTTTAGGGGGACAACCCTTGTTTTTTTTGGTCAATTAGGGCACACTCTTTAAGTTTTTTTTGGCAAAAAAATCTAAAGCAAATTTACATACTTTGAGAATATTCACATTCACTAGTACTACATACATTAAAGAGGTTTTTTTGAAACTTCAAGGGACAATAACATCGCACTTAGAACAATAATTGAAAATTTATTTAGAGAATAGCTTAATATCTTATTTGCTATCATGTTTCCGTGACAATGTAATCATGTTTAAGCGTTCAAAAATCGAGTGTTCTTTTTTTTTTAAGAACACTCGATGTTGTTGGCATCATAATCAAATTTTCTTGTTGAATAAACACATTTTACATCAGAATAATGGCTTATGCAATAATTAAGTCAAGTTGACACCACAACTATCAACTATGCATCCTCTCAAGTTGAAGTGTTCGACACACGTCTTCTTCTTTTTGTCTTTAAGATATAGTACAATTGGCAATTTTATTCATGTTTTCCCATAGATTAAATACACTTTCCATCAAGATAAGTTAGTACGAAAATTATGTTTTCTCTCAAATTTAAACGTTCGATACACAAATCTTACTTTTCGTTTAAGATATAGTACAGTTGATTACGTAATCATATTTTCTCATAAAATAAATGCATTTGGTGTAACTATGACTAGAAATAAGGGTGTGTTCAATTGTCAGTTGTTCTAACGTAGTTATTATAGGTATAAATATTTAAATAATACGTACATACGAAAGTAGCAACTTAAATAATATGGGTATTAAGTTGTTGATTTGAGCTCTGCGGCTAACATTAACTTCGTATACCCATTGCCTATATTCTCGTGGTTCACAACTTTGAAAAATTATATTAAATTTTTTCTTTTTTTTTTTTGTTGAGAAGTGATAAACTCCAAAAAAAAAATTGTAGAATCAGCTTGTCAAAGTTGACATTTCAATGCCATAGGAAGGAGTTCCCCTGGGAAGTCACTTCTTTTTTTGAGGATATCAAAGTTTTTCCAAGACAATTAAACTTGAACTTTTTAAACAAGCTCAGAGCATGTAATAATATAGTTCATTAGATGACAACATCTGTTATATCCCATTCTCTCTCCCCGAGTTGGGGCAGCTGTCCACCATTAAAGCTTTAGGCTTTTTTTTTTTTTTAAATTCTGATTCTATAAGCTTATTTGCGAGTTAAATGAAAATGGCAAGATCAACATTGGGGGTGTTCATCTTACTCTATAGTAAGAATTATGGTAGTTCATCTTTCTATCTGATACTTGGTAAAAGAATTTTTTTTGACATACTTTATCCGATCAATTGTATTATTCCTACTCAAATTCTGTCCAAAATAATAGAGTAAGAAATCGGATGAATACTTATTTTTTAATTATTAATTTTTAGATAATTTTAACAATTTAATTAAGTAACCTGCACCAATTAACTGACACAATAAATCAATAACACTAAATAAAGCACAATAAATTTGATAATACATAAACAATTACAATAAAAAACAACAAGAAAACCATAAACATCAATATATCACATATAAAAAAGTCATAAATATCAATAAAATATTAGAGTTTCTAGATTTTTGGATCTTAATATTATATATATATATATATATATATATATATATATATATATGCGAGTAGGGTAGGGTAAGAATACAAAAATTTTGTAGGTATTCTGCATTCTTACTCGATTTTTGGCGTAAGACCAAAAAATCTTTCGTTGGCCTGCCCGATTTTTTCGAGTAGCCGATCAATAGAGTCAAATAAAATAGGATAGAATCAAAATTTGTGAGTAATAGAAAAATTGAACACCCTTAGTCAATATAGTAGGCATCACTCATAAATTAGTCCAACTCTTCTCTTGTAAACATGATAGGCATTACTCAAAAACGTAGTACTCTCAATAATTAATCACTATTATTTATTTTTTTAATAAAAATTAATTTTATAATTCTCTTTTTAATTTCTAAAACAACTAGTGAGAAAGAGAAAAGAGTGAAAAATGTATTTTGAAGAAAAAAAGAAGCCTATTATAAGTTATGTTCAATTGTAGAGGTCGAATACTCAAATGAATAAAAGTGAAACCAAAATAATATTATTACATTGCTATATCTTTCAATATTTATTTTTTATTCTATTTTTTGATCAATTTTATATTATTGGGGTTTTGTAATTTTTAATGTTTTTATATTATATGCTTAAAGATTAATTTTTTCCCATTATATCTACAATGTATTAAAAATGTCTAGGAACTGGATTGATCCCGAAAGAGAGATCATTTCTTTCTGGTTATGAAATTGTTTAGATTGAAATGCCAAGGTATGGACTAGTGCTGGTAAATAAACGAAACTGTGAATTCTCACGACAAGTGTTTTCGATATCTTTGGTTTAGTGAAAGTCTTCCTTTGAAACTAAGTCGTAGTGACGAAAGGAATACAGACATGCAAGTCTGATCAGCCTATTGCTTCTTTATCTCTTAATTTTACTTTTAAATCATAGAGCAACACCAAAAGAAGTAAACTTTTAGGGTTAAGAATCGAGATGAAGAGTGAATGTTGTTCTTATTAAGTAAGTTCAAAGAATGACTTGAGTAAAAGTTGGAGTGACATCGATCAAGCTCTTTCTTCTCTCATTTTTGTATCAGTGCAGTTCAGGGGTGGTTACCTCAGTTAGTTTAGCCATTACTTTAGAAAGATTTTTATAATTTGGCTCTTATGTTAGTTTATATTATTTTTTTCCTCAAAAGTCAATCAATTGACATAAACGAAAAAATTAACGAAAAATTAATAAAAGAGTCACATTATAACACTTTTAATATATTGATAGTGAAATGTCAAAAATTTAAATTTTGAGGGTATAATGTGTAAAATTTATTCTTAAAAAATACAAAATACTAATTTAAAATTTTTTTAGAGTACATAGTGAAATTCACCTATATTATCCTATTGACATGCCACTTGGACTGTCCAGTAGGAAGGTTTCGGTCCGTTTGGTCTTAAAAGAGCCCTTCTGTGGGACACGTGTTTCTCTGAGCCCACTGCTTAACCAGAAAAAAAAAAAAACGAAGAAGAAATTCCCTACACTGGAGAGGGAGAAAATATTCAATGCAACGTGGCGATACGTATGATTTGGGCAACGAGTACGTACGACACGTGGCGAAAGTTTACATCGGACACGCCACCAGAAGCCTCGCATGCTTTCTTTAGGTCGACGGAGGGAGGACCGACCTTCCAGAAACTTCTGGGGAACTCCTGGCTAATAACAGCCCAGACATCAACCGGCCAGATCTCGCCACGTGTCCACTCAACCACGCGAGCATCCGACGTGGCATCCCCCTTCTCCTGAAAATGATACTCCCAGGCCACTTCTCAATTTTCACACAAGGACTTCATTTACACATACACAAAACCTCAAAATTTTCCTGAGAAAATTCACACGGAAAAGCTAAGAGAAATTAGAGAAGAGGCTTGAGCTCTTATTTTTCTGTTTGGATGTCTAGAAAATCAATCGGGATGAATGGAGAGGGAAGAGGAGGAGGTGAAGAAAGTGTGGAAATGGAGGGAGTGAGAGACAGAGAAAAATTAATCTTTATGTGGGGCTACCTTCCGGGAGCTTTACCGCAGCGGTCGCCGCTGTTGTCACCGGTGGTGGTGAGGCTTCCGCCGTCGATTGGGCCTGGAACTTCGTGGAAGGACGTTTGCGGCGGCGGTTGCGGATTTGCTATGGCCATTTCAGGTGCTTTTTTCATATGATTTTTCCCGATTTCCACATTGGTTCAGGAAATAACATTTTTTGAGTCAAGATTGAACATTACATTATGGAATATGGAGTTATTTCTGGAATTTTACTGCTTTTGCTGGTGCGTGTATTGTGAGTATTCTGTAGGTTTGATGAAAATTTTCGTTGCTTTGTCCAAGTTGAAGTCGTTATGAGGAGCTCGTGTGCTGCTTTAAGCAGCTGATTGTTTTTCTATTTTAGATTGCTTGTATTGGAGGTGACTATCTTCTGATACTTCCCGGCTACTGCCTCTTGTGAATATGAACGATGAAGCTTGACCTTCTGGTGATTGAACTTTTGCACCCTCACTTGGGGTTTAAAATGTGTGATTGATTGCTCTTTTTCCTGTTGCATTTTTTGGATTCAATTTTCATCTCTGCTGAAATCAATGTTTACTGTCTCGCGTTAGTTGTAATTTGTGAGCTTTGTTGCCAATTAAACTGCTGTGGTATCGCTTTCTATTTATGTTGGTCCGCCTTTCTCATTGAAGCTTTCTGATGTGGCCTGTAAGGTTTTGGGTTAGTTGAAGCATGGGGCATAGGTTGGATAGGAGTCCTGAATAACAATTTTCTTTACCTTTTCAATATAGAATTGTGTGGATATTAGCTTTCGAATGTAAGACAAGTACTTCTAGTTTGCTAAATTTCTGTACAGGTACTGGGGTGCAATATGCATTGGTGCAATTGCTAGTCGAACTAGTATTATTGGTACTGATATTTTCTTTATTTGCTCTGCCCAGATTCCGGGAAGCTCATAACATGGGGTTCAACAGATGATCTAGGTCAAAGCTATGTGACATCTGGGAAGCATGGGGTATTTAGCAGCACTAGATGCCGCGCTTCTATTCCTTGGGGTTTCTTTTTTTTTTCTTTTTTAATTTTCTCTTGAAATTAACTGGATTTTCTTTACATTGCTTTGTCAAGGAAACACCAGAGCCTTTTCCTCTTCCTGGTGAAGCTTCAATAGTAAACGCTGCTGCATGTTGGGCACATTGTGTTGCAGTTACAGGTACTGCTGAGTTACTCTCTGCAATAGGGTAGTAACTAGTAAAACTCGGTTCATTTGCCCTCGTCTGGGTTGCGGGGTCAATGATATAAAAACATAAGGGACCAAATTCTAGGAACTTTCAGTTGTTTTCATTTAGTAATTATGACATATTTAATTCCAACTAGAGGAAATGACTAGAAGAAGTTTCTTTTTTGATATTTTTGTATGGCAAAATCTCTTCAGATTCAAAATTGTACTATTATTCTTCTACCTGCTTTTTCTTCAACGATTAAACATAGCACGAACTGTACCGATGGACATAAGCTGATTAGGCCGGTGTCCTGTCTAATCTTCTTTTCTACCGTGGCCATCATGTTTATTGCTTTTAATAAACCTGTCTGCCCAACTATGGACTCAGTACCCTTTGATTTTCCAAAACAGAGGGTGGAGAAGTTTATACATGGGGATGGAAAGAGTGTGTTCCCTCTGGGAAGGTATTTGGCGATCCATCTATGTTAAGTTTAGAGAAGGAAGTGTCTGAGCGACAGAGTTCATTTTTGACGGAACAAGGTAATATTTGGTGGCCTTTTAATCCAAGTTATACGCAGAAGGTTCTGTCAAAATGATGAAGAGTAATTTTATTTCAGTGAGCCCTCGCTCTCAGGGCTCAAAATCTAGTGGTGGAGCTGTGTCTGGTACGGATATTGGAGGAGGTGGGGAGGAGGGTACTAAGCGAAGACGAATATCATTGGCTAAACAAGCAGCTGAAAGCTCATCATCTGGAGATGAAACTCTATCAGCGTTGCCTTGTTTGGTGACATTGAATCCAGGAGTAAGGATTGCCACAGTTGCCGCTGGTGGGCGGCACACTTTAGCATTGTCAGGTAATTTTCTTTGTCCTGCGTCCACTGGCATTCCTTATGCCATGAATTTGAAGCATAATTCTGTCTGCATTGTTGGTGCAATACACTAGTCTGTAGGCAATATTACTTTTGAAACTTTGTAAACCAAGACACTTGATATATCCCATTTTTTCCAAGTTTCAGACATAGGGCAGGTGTGGGGTTGGGGCTATGGCGGTGAGGGGCAGCTAGGTTTGGGGTCTCGGATACGTATGGTGTCCTCTCCACATCCCATACCGTGCATTGACTCTTCTACTTTTGGAAAAGATAGATCTCTAGCTCTTTCTCGAGGAAGCTTGGGTTCAGAGGGACATGGTTTTAGGGTTCCAGGAAGTTATGTGAAGGGAATTGCCTGTGGAGGTCGACACAGTGCAGTAATTACAGGTGAGAGTCTCATGATTTGCTTGATACCTGGCCAAAAGGTCACATTTTTTTAATTTAAGATCCATGCAAGAGGGACATTGGAGAAACTGCTAGTCATATGTCCATACTCCATACATTTTTTAATTGTTTTTTCTCTCTCTCTCTCTTAAATTACTTGTTGCAAGTTGCATTCCAACAGTAGAAAAGACGGTTTAGTTCCTCGGATACATTTCAGTTTGCATCCTGATGCTTGTGTGTTTTGTATTACTGATGTCTAGTGCTACATGCTTGTTCATAACTTTCTCAATGTCATTTTCCGCATCCACAGATGCTGGAGCACTACTTACTTTTGGCTGGGGACTCTATGGACAGGTGGGTTACACAAGGCTGGGTAAATTTTTGAAAGAAAAATAATTTTTACACACTTTTCGTATGTTCTCTATTTATTGCAGTCAATAGTCTGCTTTAGCTAGAAACTTAAAATGTGAGGGAAGCAGGTAAAATGCTATGAGCAAGCACATGCTTTATTTGGGGGTTATCTTGGCTTTTGGTTAGGCCTTATGATGTAGGAGATAATAAGTCTTCATTGTATCCTAGTGAATAAGGTCTGAAACAACGATCTAACTGACCAACACAGTTGCTTTTGTATATGCAAGCATCATGTGTATTTGTATGCTTTTTCTCATGCAAGCATTATGCGAATTTGTAGTCTTTGAAGGTAAAGGCGGAAGCTCATTTATAATTATAGAGTGATTAGTCTTTCAGAATTTAATTTTAGATAGGATTAAAGATTGGATCAAAAAAAAAGAAGATAGGATTAAAGTTAGTAGTTTCAATCTGTGAAGATAGCTTATAACCCACATCGAAAGGTTAAGGCCACCCAGGGTTTGTCTAAATGTTGAGGGGTCTCTACATCTCTTGCTAGTTGACTTGTGTTGTATGCCTCTAACACGGTATCAAAACTGGGTCTTGGGTGATTAGTGGGCCAACTCTCCCACTCATTTACATTTTCTGGTATGTCCGTCTATATCGTGTGAGCCTAGGTTGTTTGCGAGGGATCATGCGAGGAAGCCTTGTAGCACAACATCCAAGGATTAGGGCCACCCAAAATTGGTTTATATGGTTCTGAGATTAATCTACCTATTGTCAATTTGTTTTTGGTTGAATGCCTAAATTGGGATTCTTAAATAAATGGTTAGTTTGCATAAAATAATAGGTTTCAAAACTGTAAGACCTGATGGTTTCTATGTTATACCATCATTGGCCTATTGTGTAGAAATAGTATTCTCTTCCAATGCAATAATCTATTTAATTCGCCTACTTAGGATACTCATCTTGATGTCACTCACATGATCCGTGTCATCTTTGTTCGTATTGTGGCCATTTTTCGATAGGGTGTTGCAAAATATTATCATGATGCATGTCTCTCCTTCCTCTTGCTTTATTCATCTGTAAAAACATATACCCAATTTTCTATTTTCTTATGTTGTTAGTGACAAGAAAAGATCATTCTCAACTGAATCTCAAGTATATTGAGGTTTTGCTGAAAAGACAAATTTGTTATGCTTTCATGTGTGAAATTAAGAGTAATAAAGCTAATCATGCCATGGGAATTTGACCTTGAGAGTCCAAATTTAGAGAAGGATATTTTGACTTCTTGAGGAGAACACAGTAGCCATACTATCAAGGATTGACTTCTTGGTTATTGGTGCAATTGGAATATGCCAAATGTAGTTCACTTGATCTGACTCCAATTTAGTTTCAGTTATTTTGTGTTCATTTAAACAAATTTGTAGGTAATCCACTGAATGGAACCCCTGCTGAGATTTATTGTGTGTCCTTTGGATCTGGAATGTCTTTGCAGAAGCAGTTTTTTCTCTAAGATTTGAGCCTCTGTACCTCTATTAGAGTATGTTGTTTGAGGAAGAATCCTCAATGCTTCAGATGTTGTCAGCATATCCAACAAATATATGTTTTGTGGATAGTTTATGGACAATAAGTGGAAAGGTGAGTGTATGATGTGGTTGTTGTAAAGGATATGATGAGGATCGTGTAAGAATTGGATAAATTAATTATGATAGTTATTTTTTTGGGTGAACAGTGCACGGGTGAACAGTGCAATGAATAGTAACTTCGTTTTTTTTGTTTTTTTCAAATCGAAGTTAGGCTCTGATACCAAATTGATGTAGATTGTATTAGGGATGAGAAGGGAAGAAGAAAGGGATGAGAATAGAGAGAGAATTTTAAGAAGAACATTCAATATCAATAATCAATAATCAAAGTCTCCCAAAACAAATGTCATATTCCCTATATATATAGGGAGAACACAAATCCTAAAAGAACTCTAAAAGAAATAAATAGTCATAATGACAACTAAACCCTTAAAAGTTAAAAGAAATTACTTAAACGATAAATATTAAAAGTATCTAAATAACTATCATAATTAATCTGTCCAATTCCTACACGATCCTCATTAGGATACCTCTTGATTTTGTACTACTATATAGATGCATATTACTTGTTTAAAGATCATGTAAACAAAGTACTGATAGATGGTTGTTGACCTCACGGTTTGTTGCATCAGTAAGCATCTCGAAGATTTTGTTCCTTACAACTGCTCGAGACTGAATTTCCAAAACATATTAACTGCTTTTTAACATCAACGTGTAGGTAAAGTAGAAAATGATGGAGAAAAAAGCACAGCAGATGTTCAAGATGACGCTCACTCTGAAAAGGAACAATTTGATCTGTTCCACCTTTTATGTGGTTTTTTGGTTTATTTTCTTCTATTGTGATCAGTTTGATTATTGATTAAGTTGTGAATTTTATGATGTTCAAGATGTGAATTCGGTTTGGATGTGTTGGTGTAGTGCGGGCAAGGAAGCACAGATGATGAGCTAAGCCCAACGTGTGTATCTTCTTTGTTGGGTATCCGGATTGAAGGTGTTGCAGCAGGACTCTGGCACACTGTCTGTATTTCTGCTGATGGTGATGTTTATGCATTTGGGGGGAATCAGTTTGGACAGTTGGGAACCGGTGCTGAACAAGCTGAGGTACATTTTTATTCATCCTGTGTGTGTTTGTCATCATTTCTTTATTATAGTAGATGTTATGATAATATCATGTCAAACAAGATATATCTTTTCCCAGCCAACACAACCACCCCAAAACTGCTGCAAAAAAAAAAAAAAAAAAAAAAGAGGTCATTACTCAGTTTGTTCCCCATTAATCATGGTGTCTTAGACCACTTTTCTAGAGATGCTAAAAATGGATGGCCTTGCAACTAAAAAGTGTTTCCTTATGAGTTTTGCACTTTTTATAGACAATAGATGAGTATTCCCACACATATTTCAAGCTGTGAACGATTTGGACAGAATAGAAATTTGTTTTAGTCAATATTAACTCTAGTTAAATTCTGCTTCAGACTCTGCCTAGGCTTCTGGATGCTCCTAGTTTGGAAAATATGCACGCAAAAATTGTTGCTTGTGGTGCTCGTCACAGCACTATAGTTACAGGTATGTAATCTGTTTTCATATTTTGATTATTAATTATTTTTGCCGCCTTGAAATAAAACAATCACTTGTTTGGGAAAATTTGACTCCTGCCAAGCTCATGTTTGGGCCTTACCAGTTTCTGGAGGAACCACGATATATTAGGAGTTCATTTAAGCTCCCTTGGAGATTTTCTTTTAGGCTACAACTAATTAGATGGACGAAAAAAGTAAAAAGTTGAATATTAGCAACTATGCCAACTCTAAACTGGGCCAGCGACGACATGGGGTAACTAGGGTCCCCATGATACCCTATGATATAAAATTTTTCCATAAATATGGAGCAGATGCTGTGTTTGCTGTTGCTGGTTTGAGAAGCCTCTATCGCAAGTATTTCTAGTGTGAGAGAGAGAGAGTGAGAGAGAATGGTGAGGGGACCAATTTTGGTGTGAGGCATCATATACTACCTTCAGTTTTTTATTACATATTTGGATTGCATGGACAGCTGCTGACTAGTTGTGGATATAGCCTAGCTGGCGAACAGAAAAAGACGAGGTTGAAAATTCTTAAAATTTTGATGGATTTAAAGAACCCACATAATTGTGAGAAAACTCCTAATACCAATTTTTCAGGCAGGGATTTGTCTAAATGCTGTGTCTGGTTTTAGTGAAAACACAGAAAAAGAAGTAAAATTTTGGTGTCATATTCATGTCAACCATTACAATTTCAACTATGTGTTAAGTTTCAACTTTTCTATCGTTTAGTTTCTTCACATGTAGCTAAACTTACTCAAAGCTTTCTAAGATAAAGTGTTGCATGAGTTCTTGAAGTTATGCAAATGAGTGGTGAAGAGAGAGGTTTTCAGTGGATAACTAACTAGAATTTATTGAGGACCGTCTTTAGTTGATATGCTTGGGGCAAGAAATATGAAAATGTGAAGCTCCACAAAGGGTGGAGTGAAACTCAACTTGGGTGGATATGATTCCAGTAAAGTTTAAATATCATAAAATCCTTGACACACCTGTTACAGTTACTAACAATGTCATACCAGAAATAAAATCTTGTGGGCAGAGCTTTTTCATTATTAACCGTCTGCTTTTGTTCCGTGAAGAGGATAGCAAGGTGTTCTGCTGGGGGTGGAACAAGTATGGTCAGGTAATGTGACAAACTTTTTGATCCAATTATCAATTGCATATTGTTTTCCTGGCGTTCAAGTGTTTGGAGGCTCCACAATTATCACAGCACTCCCTTATATAGTTTTCGTTGTCTTGTTACTTTTTTGATTTATCAGTTCTTGCTTGATACAGCTTGGTTTAGGTGATGTGATTGACCGTAATATTCCATCCCAAGTTGCAATCGATGGTTATGTAGCAAAAAATGTCGCATGTGGCTGGTGGCACACCCTTCTTCTTGCTGAATCACCCACCTAAGCATCTGACTCCCAGGCGGCGGCCTGGGCACAGTTTTGTTAGGTTTGGAGTTTCTCTTTCAACAATATTAACACTAGTTAAAACTATATGTATATGTGCATACAGTAGCTTGTATACATATACATATAAGCAAGTTATCATTCTTTCATGATCTAGGTTCAATGACTGGTCAACTCTATTAACCATGCTGCAAAGGAATGTGATTGCCAGATGTAAAAAATAAACCCTAGTCCTCTGTGAATATCTGTATCACTGTATATTGGATGATTTGATGTCAAGCCTATTTCCTTGCAATGTAACTGTTGGTATGATGGAATGTGCCTGTGCATTTCCTTCGGATTCTAAGTTTTTGCCCTTTCATATGTTCCTCCATGATTGAAGGCAGTGGGTAAATAAGGAAATTATAGCCTATAAACTGCGTGTAGTCCTGTCAATGGATCAAATTCTGTTATATCGGAATCCGAATTTGATTACAGTTTGCATGTTCCAATCCTATCCAATGTAATTTAGTAGCAAACGACTCCTCAAAATGGACAAAAACCAGAATACTATTTAGGAATGTAATTACTGGTCTTATTCTCCACTCCTTAACGTCAATGACCAGAAATATTGAAAGGAAATCTAACAGAAACTTTGTGGTACTCTTTAAGTGAAAACCAAAATCCACACTTGCCAGTAGTGTACGCAGTACAACTCTTAAGAAAAACTTTGGGCGGCCAACTTTTCTCCTTGTTTAGTAAAGTCTAGCTTTTCCATAGAAGTAGGTGTTTGTTAGGATAGGGCTCAGAGAGATTTCGATCTTCTAGTTAGATCTGGGTGTGGCCCACTCAACTCGAAGGATGAGATTGTCGTACCCATATCCATTAAGCTTATTGATTGCCCTCTCAGCATCTTCCTTGTTGACGAAGTTGACAAAACCAAAACCTCTGCTCACACCTGTCTTTTGATCAATGGCGACATAGACACGACTCACAGAGCCAAATGTGCGGAACAGCTCCAGCAAATCTGGCTCCCGGGTGTCTTCTGAAAGATTAGTGACACGAACCGAGTTCTCTTCATTTCTGCGTCTCATATCTGAACCAGCAGGCCTTTCTGCACCTGCTCTCATGCTTGGAGGGACATATGCTCCCTTGGTAGTACCAGACGCCATGGTCGTCTCAGAGATAGGAGGTTTATCAATAAAGCTTTCGGTTTGAGGGCCAAGATCCTTGTAAGGGCATCTAGCTGTCCAGTGGTCACCATTCTTTCCACAAGTTCTGCAAACCATGAGAACAGCACCTCCTTTACCAAGCTGAGCCAAGGAATCTCCAGCTACCTTAGTTTCTTCTGGTTTAGAACCTATTGGCAGCACCACATTATGTTAAATTAAAATAAGGTGAAAACATTTGTAAACATAAAAGCATGCATCATTGAATGTCAAGAGCCTACGAAATTGAGCCAACTTACAGAAGATTGCTAGATGGTAAACATATCCTTATGACTCACCAAATACTTTCTTTCTTTATTCTAGAAGCCACAAGGGCGCAGATAACAGGGGCCTGTTTGGACTCATTGGTACAAAAATGAATTCTAGCAAAATCATCTCACACAATCTTTCCCATCCATTCTATTTTTCATAGATGCAATCCAGTGTATACAATGAAACATGATATATGGAAGATTATAAACCAAACGAAACAGAAAGATGATTCTCTACAGCATTCTAGTAAATACAAAGTAGCAACTTAAAAAAGAGATCAGAAAATGCATCGCAGAAACGCATCAGAACAATTGGGACAGATCAACTGATACAAAACTCACGTTTTTTCTGCCTTCTGAAATGTACTGCGTTCCAGTGAGCAGGACCAAACATAAAGATGCATAGTTTAACAAATTTGTGTTGCATACAGGGGGTATTTTGAAAGAAACAATTTTGGAAAGAGGTCGTTATATCAATTTCTTTTGACTAGTGAAGTTGAGTCAAAAACACACAGAAGAAGGTCAAGGGACCAAATAATATACATGAGTAATTGAATCCTAGTCAATCAATTCAAGCACAAACTGATGTCACTTCCTTGCGAGAAGGGCCTGTGTCAGCTTACGCCATTTGAGGTGGGCAATAGAGTTGAAATAGTTTTAAGCAGAATTAGTTACATAGTTCAATTAAAAACTAGTTCACATGTTGAAATAATTTTTATCGAATTCCAATTCCAGGCACTTGATTCCCATGTTACCAAACACGGGATAATCCAAGATGAAAGAAAATTTAACGCTTAACTAGAGCTTCACAAGGCCACATGCATTCTTTTCTCAACACAATAATTTACCAGGCTCAGGAAATTGAGCAAAGGGTGCTTGTAAAAATTAGCCACCAATCACCATTTATAATGCAACAAAGATCTATCAGTGTTTTCTCTGACCAACAAATTCAAATCAAGATGAATGGAAAAGAAGTAAAAATGTTCGAGATGAATACATGGTGAAACAATAAATAAGAAAATTCCAATTACTACATGAATTTGAACTTAGCATTGATAGGTGCAAAAATCAGAGAAAGTAAGCTTGAGATAGTTTGAGCATGTGCACCACAGGACAAGTGCTGACATCTATGCCACCAGTAAGGATTAGGATGAGGGAAAGGCAGGAAAAGAAATAATGCTGCTAGGGAGAGGAGAAGAGAGGAGGAACTTGTTGAGCTCATTTCTATATGTACCTCATAGAACAACAATAAACTATAAAGGATTCATATATATGATCAAATTCACAGTGCTCCGTTGCAGTTGTGAATTTACATTGGAGAAGTGGGGGCACCTGCCCCATTGTAAACATCAGAAGTTTTGGTGTTAGTATAAAATATTGAGAAATTTCCATTTTTTTGGTACTTGTCCCCGTCATGAATTTAGTGAGAGCTTTAGGAGTTTTATATTTCAGAAGATAAGTGTCACAGTGTCATGCTCTGGGTTAGAGAAGACAAAATAAGAACACAGCTTTATGTAGTCAAACTTCTGCGTAAGAAAATAAGGCTTTTGTTCAAGTGAATTTGCTAAAATATTCACACAAACATGTGTAATTTTCTAATGTATTAAAACACTTCCTCTTCTATAAATGAAATGTTCATAAATGAGTGTGGTCTTCCACAAAGTTTAATCCGAGACGCCTTTCTTTGCCCGGCATAATCTGCTGTACTGAAGTTGAATTCGAATCACCTTATTCTTCATGTTACATAGGCTTTAATCAAAATAATCATGAATTATCTTCTCCAAAATTTTAGGTTTTACATAATATAACCTTTAGATCCACATACCCTTTAATCAAAATCCAAATAACAGATGTAACCCAGAACCAAGAAATTCAAAAAATCTTCATCAAATGTTAATCACACCCATATCAAAAAACAGCAAAAAATATCAAATCCTTCACAATTTGAACTACTGAGACAAAGACCCAGAGAGAGGGAAACATACCAGGGGCTCTAGGTCTTTCAATCAAGATTTCCTCAGTGGACACCATGGTGAGCCTACTCCCAACATCCTCATGGACCGCATCACCAAACTTGGGCCACGACCGACGCTCGAGTGCCCTTTTACTGAGTCGGGCCTTGGCGAGCTTTCGAACTCGGGTAGTTGTCGTGATCTTGACCTTATTGCCCTCGTCGTTAAACTTGTACTCTATAACTCTCTTGATCCCATTCTCGTTTGGTCCGATGACCTGCTTTGGTGGTAGGAGGAAGTTGAAGTCTTCTCCTTCGTCTTCTTCTTCTAGCTCTCCCCACCGAAGCTTGCTCGGCGGTTTCTGGGTGTTCGAATTCGGAGCCGAACCTCTGTCTAACGCCATGATTAATGGATAAGGGATGATGATTTCGCAGATTGATTGGAGTTTGGGTTTGGGTTTGGGTTTGTGTTCTTTAGGGTTTGGAGGATTGAATTGAGCGGAAGCGGATGAGAACTGATGATATAAGATACGTTAAATAATTTATTTTTAAATAAAATTGAATAAAAATATAATGAATAAGATCTTAATTTGTCTAAGTAAAAATTCTGTATTTTTTTAATAAAAAAATATCATTTTTAATTAATTTAAAATAATTTGAACATTTTTGTGTGTTGTTTAGCATTGAACTCACGATAAATCCAATTACATGTCGAAGAAAGTCGGGTCTCTCGTCTGTATAACAATAATTTTGATTGGAAGTAAGCTTTTCATTCTTAAATCCTAAATTATTATATTTGGTTAGTTAATTTTTTAGTGATCAAAGTTGAGAATAAGATTATTATTGTAATCAAATTTCAATAAAAGTAGGTATCGTAAACTCGTGATCAGTAATGATAATCTTATACCTATATTGATTAGATATTCTAAAAAAAAAAAAAAATCTCAAAATAAAATTCCCTTCTTAAAATTAACTTTACTATAAAAATCAAACTCTCTTCCTACAATTAAATTATTTTCTAAAAAAGTATGAAAATAATAATTGATTATTGACAATAATCAAACACTAAATATGAGATTACTACATTAAATAACATCTGCTATCACATTCTTATTCCCAATTAAAATTATTATCATCCAAACGTGACTTAAATGCTAATTTTGTGATAAAATTATAGCAATTAAACACCCAAATTAAATTTTTGATATACATCCAGAGGATGCTAATTTTGGCCAAAAGGCATCAAGACAGATTACGCTAAGTTAAGATCTGTCTCTATGGGGGCATACAACAATAGATCAATTCATTCAACAAGATCCATTTGGATCAGACTAAGATAAAATGGGATTGTTTTGACCTCTTGTTTGGATGTAAGACTTCTGATGCCAACAAATGTCACATGCCACATTTTGTGAACAGCTAACCCCCAAAAATGAATGAATTGTGATATAGCCCTAAATGAGCCACTACTTTATTTTTGACTCGAAATTCATAAAGAATTTTAAAGGAGAAAAAAATAGGAACCCTTATACCATACATTCTACTGCCTTAGGATGATTGCAGGACGCTAATAGTTTTCATTTTTCATCTCATAGAAAACCCTTTTTGCTCCGCTTAGCATTATTCCCCTCTAGGGTATAGGAACTAAATAATCTTATTTGGTCAAATACCTAGGGACAAACTCTTATGTTCCTTTCATTACAATATTTTTGAACAAGTTCTGATAACAAGTATAAATGTTTTCTTATTGATGATATCGATATTAATAATAGTAACGATATTAATACTAGTGATAATATCCATCGTGATCTTGATACTGAGCTGAAATTATTAATTATGTTGAATGCGCTAATTATAGATATGATATTAAAAATAGACCGATTTTATATCACCTTTCAATTCGAATTAGTAAAAGCAATACCTATTTACATAATATGAATTTCACACATTCATGATCTGAATCTGTATAAGTCGAATTAGTTATTCCTCGGTTTATTAGTGAGCCATATCCCCGGGATTGTGAAAAGGGTTGCTGATTGGAGGGACAAACTGGACCCAATCCACTAGCCTTAGGCTTCAAGTTGAGTTGATGGTCTGGGTGTAGTTAGGCTTAGGCAGACCAACCCAATTGCTTTAACATCTCATTCAACTTAAAAAACGTTGGGTATTTATATCCTAATGGCATCGGGCCCGAATAAGGAAAGCCCAAGTCCAAGGTGGAACTAAATTGTGGGCTAATACTTATGAATGTCGTTCCTATATATTGAAGATGTTGCTCTACAACAATGAACTTGCAGTTCAAAGATTTGTGGGTTTTGGAACTTTTTTTTTTTTTTTTGGGGGGGGGGGGGGGGGGGGGGGGGGGTTAGGCTTGTCCCTCACAATAGTGAAGTGTTTTCTACAAAAGCATGTGTGTGACCTTAAATTAAAGTAGAGGTTGGTGTAACCAAGACACGAACACGCCTTTGCGAAATCGAGAGAGAAAATGTGAGGTTTTTTTGATGAAGGCACATTTTAAACCTGTGAGCCGAGTTACAAATAAAAAATGGAGTTCAATTGTATGTCACCTTATCATCTGCCAATGAAGAGCTATACCCAAAACAATAACAAAGTTGCACAATAATATACAAGCTATTGGGATGGCCCTTATTAAGGTATAACGTGACACAACAGAGCAATAATAGACATTATACCGAGGAATATTACTTATATTAGTTCTTGATCATGCTGAATTATATAATATGCCAATGTTGAACCAACAAAATAATGACAGATAGTAATAGCTTGTCCTCTTTCCCATTTCAGCAACAAATATTGCCAGTGGTTGCATGGTTGCTTTCCTTTCCTTATTGTCATTGTTCTCAGAGGATATATAGAGGGTAAAATGGATGGTCGAACACACTTGATTTGAAACATAACAGTACACAAGTAGGTGATCAAGGAAAAGAAAGCCTAGAGCATTTGCAACTTTCTGTTGAACACTGCCTAACAATAGGCCTCTTATCTAAATTTCACTTTGACTGAAGCTTACAGAGAAAAGGATAGATATCCTTTCCATGTTTTGCATTCTATTATTTTAGTGTTTAAGCTTGTGAATTAGAGTGTTTTTTAACTTAAATTTAACACTTAAAATGAATGTATTTAGTACTTATTAATTAAGCTTATTTGATAATTAAAATTTAAATTCTCTTAATATGGTAAGTACTCCTTAAAAATAGGCAACAATATTAAATAGGAGATCTCTTACTTAATTTTGAAAGCTAAAAACGCTCAGTAAAATCATTTTTAATAATATTTATAATATGATAATTATACCGCGAAATTTTTTACAATTCTATTAAAATTCTAATTAGTCTTTTCTTCAAACTCCTAACTTATATATTCTCCTTGTTGATCTCTTTTTTTTTTTTTTTTCTTTCACTTGTCTTCTTGTAACAAAAATATAAATACATAATTATAATTACACACATAAACGCACAAACATATGCACTGCACACACACACACACACACACACTTACACATACACATGCACATACATATTATAATGAAATCTAATTTATTGTATTTTTTCAATATTATTTGATTATTTATTAGTTATTGTTCTTTTTTTTATCAGATATTATTGTTCACTTATTATGTTATTTAATTTGTTATTGTTCACTTATTGTGTTATTCAGATGATATTTATTCATTTATTTTGATCAAATATTTGTTAAATGTAGACTATAATATAATAATAGTGATTATGATTTGTGTTATGACATTTTTTAAATATTTTCAAATTAAAGAATGGAAGGATAAAATTAAAAATTAATTTATTTTCAACGTCAACTCTGTGTAGTTATTAAACAGTTTAGTTCAATTCATTAGTTAAATTTCAGTGAATACTGAACAGTTCACAAATTCAACATTCAACTTTCAACTTTTAGATTTCAGCTTTCAATTTTATCAAACACCACCATAGTAAAATTACCTTTCAAAGATCTAAGTTTGGGGCTTTTGTTGTTAGGTTGGGGTTTGGATTGGACTCTGGGCTAGGGTTTAAGGTCGAGTACGGGTCTGAGTCAAGGTTTCAATCTTGGGTTTGGGGTCCGAGATCAAGTCCGGTACCGAGATTCAGGGTTCTGGGTTTGGGTCTGGGTCAAGTTCAAATCTAGGTTTGAGTCTGAGGTCTAGGGTCTAGGGTCTAGGGTCTGAGTTTGGGACCAAGTTGGGTCTTAGTTTGATGGGTCATGGGTCCGAATCCGAGTCCGAGTGAAAGACGGATGTATAACCTATCAGGTAGCCCCAGGAATGTGATGGGTACCAAGCTCAATTATTGTAAGAGATTACTAATTTGATTGATATGTAATTTGTCAGAGATTATGATCATATTAATTTAAAATTTATATTGCTACGACCGTTTTTTAAAAAAAAACATTTAATCATTTACTTTAATTGTATAAAAAATTTAATAAACGTTTTAACATGAAATTTTCTGCAAATTCGTCCTCCATTAACAACTAATTAAAAAGCTTTGATGGGAAAAACAATGATATATAAATAGTTGCTGTTGGCTTTTTCTCTAGGGAAAGATAACTCCAAGGCTGACCCTACCAAGATATCATGAAGATACATCACAGCTTATCAGGAATGGGCCTCTGAATGATTGTATGTATATGGACCTTTTCGTAGAAACTTCCTTTATTATATGCTAATTTAGAATTTATTGGAAATAATTAATGACTCTATTCACTAGATCCAAAAATTTAATTATAATTTAGAAACGAGTCGAGTTTAATTATGATAATTATGGTAAGATTTATGATTAATTTTTATATGGGTCATAAGCCTAGTTAAGTAATAGATTAAAAAGTGAAGTACAAAATTTTTTTAAATATCAAGAATTGTCTATAGTTAACCGAATGATAAATTTCTTAAGAATTTCTTTTCGATGAATACAAATAATTACAACATTGAGATCATCTTCCATCCTACTGAGAAATTAAGCGAATTTTGTCGTTTGCTTCTAACTTTATTAATATACCGAAAAAAGTTAGGGGCAACTTTCCAATTTTTTTGTTCAAAAGTGGTGCAATGTATTAAATAAAAAAGACGTATTGTTTTTTTTTTATCAATATACATAAGTGATGGAATTTCATATTTGTTCCGCGCAACCAAAAATATTTTTAAAAAAAAATTGATTAGGGATCAATACTAAGCCAAAGTTACTACAAAGAAACAAAGAATGGGGTCACTGCATAAATATATAAAAGTCAAAGGGGCACTATATTCAATTGAAAAAATCATGGGTATTTGAAAAATATATATTCAATAATTCTTAAAAGTTGAGGGGCAAGTGTCCCCCTGACTTTAATGTTGCTTCACCTTTGTTTCTATCCATCGTTTCAAAATAAGAAAAAGTACGTTTTTCTTCTTTTAAGAATGGAAAGTCTGTCCCTCACCTTCATATTTTTTTTTTTTTTTACCAAACAGACCGATAGCTTCAAAGGACAAAAGAAGAGGGTATAATTAAAATGGCATAAAGTCTGATACTTTAGCTTTCTACTTCAGACATTGATAATAGTTGCGTGTGTCACACTACCTTTACAATAACATGTAGTTCTGGCCATGGATTTTGGTGAGAATAGAAAAGGAAGGATAGTTACAGCAATTTCTAGTGGTGATACGCCAGACTGCTTGGAATTTTCCAGTTGCTGGGACCTCAGGTTAGCTTCCATAGTCGTTATCATGATGTTTAGACATGTAGCTGTGTAAGTCACAAAATACCAGCAATGTCCAAGCATGGCGAAGCTTACATTGCATGAACTAGTCAGAGAGAGAGAGAGAGAGAGAGAGAGAGAGAGTTAGTCAAGCTAACACAATTGTCAAGTTTGGATTCTTAGACAAACTTTATTTAATTTCTAGATCTTATGCTTAGGTTCGGCTTGGCTTTGAACTCGTTAGTATTACAAGTTGATGAGACAAGGAAGCAAGAAGAGAATTTTCATATCAAACAACATATTTATAAACTGTAATATGTTTATCAAATTAAACCTTTAGAAGTTTTGTCAATTCTTAAGAATATATACCAAGGCAATTTGCATGGAAGAGAACTCAATCTTTAATATTCAAAATAATCTTGTTTATGGCGCAATAGGAATTGAAAATCCTAATGATCATAAATTACTAGAAAAACGTAATATTATTGAAATGCTTTAACACCGGGATAAAACTACAAAAATGCTTACAATGTGACTTAAATACACAATTTTACGTACGCGTTGCATCACAAGTCAATATACTAATTAATCAAGAGTCAATTAGCACCTTATTCGTTAAGCGAAGGATGCTATTTTATTGTTTTACTATATCATGGATGAATCGAGCTTGAACTCATAAAGTTTAGTACATTGTTCCGACTTAACTTGAATACCAAACAAGCTTAAAGATTTAATCATATTCATATCATTTAAATGTAAACGAATGAACTTAAACAATTCAAAGCCAAGCTGAACCCACTATGAAGCCTCTGCACTGCAAGAATTATGGTCTTTTGAGACAATTTTTTTACGGAAGCAAATAAATTTTTTATGACAACATTATCACCATAAAAAAATTATTTTTTTGGTCAAAACACATTTTTTTTGTGACAGTAAATACATCCGTCCCAAAAAACTTGTCTCAAAAGACCCTAATTCTTATAGTGCGCTGGTAGCAATTTGGTGAAGTAACATAGAAAAAGTGTTTATCTCATGGTGTTGGTTGGCATTGCTTGCAAAACTATGACTTGGAGGGGGGAGAAGAATAACCAAAAGTATGGCTTATATCATTTTTAAAGGCCTAACCAAAAGGTCAACACGTATTGTTAGGCCTTTTCTGCTAGAGAAGCCTTTGATCTTTTCATTGCCCTCAAATTCATTCCGCCAATTTACCAAATCTGTACGTGTTGAAAATCATGGGTCTTGAACCATATGAAAAGTAGACAGCTTGACTGTAGAGGCACTTTATCATCATAGAGAATGGAAAATGCGAGGGGCATTGGTGTAGTTTATATGTATGTACACGGTTCAATTACGGATTATGATCGTTTTTCTAATATGTTTTATCTAGTGATAGATCATTTATATAAAATAAAATATACGTGACTCTTTCGCTAATACAAGATAATTGAACTATTGCTAAAAAACATAAAAAGATATATATGCATGCGAGAATGTGGATCATTTGAATAGAATCCAAACCAATTGAGTTTTTGATCACTAATGATATGTTTCTCAAAATTTCAGCCTAACTTTTACTTTCGGAATGATATGGTTAAGTTTTAATCATTAATTTGAGGATAGTTTAAGTGATAATATAGACCAATTGTAAGTTCGGACGACTTATATTTGAATATTGATAAATTTTTAGAATTAGATTACGAGGGATTTATCACTTATGAATACTTTAACCTCGACGTGAATGATTTTCTTTTGATCGAATAAAAGAAGAGATTAGTTGAGATGCATATAAGTTGATCCGAACACCTTTGACCGTTAAACTCAAATGACAAAAAAAAAATCTTAATCATTCAATATTCTTTTGTCCCTTTATTTGTGGGTGAGGATGATGTCAGCTCATTTGGGAGCCCAAATTTGAACAGAAAATTGCACCATAGCAATTTTTTTTTAGGGAGAGTCTATGGTACCGCTTGATCAAAATAGTGATATCGTATTATCAAAAATATGTGATTGTGAATTATTTGTTATTAAATATTATATTTATAGGCAAAGTTATTATTTTTAGTGAGTAATATTTAATGACAAAACATTTACAATCACACTTTTGAGTAATATTTAATAACAAATAATTTACGACCTCGTATGTTTTGACGGTCAATATCACTATTTGACGAGGCGATACAATAGAGTCTTCCTTTTTTTTTTATGTCTGGTTTGGAAGATGGGGGGAGAAAAGTCAAATGGTATATCCACCTTTTGACTGAGTTTATGAACAGCAACACATGATTAAACAATACTGACCCAAGAAAAAATGATTAAATATTGAGTGCAGTTAATGCTTAATCGTAACAAATTTTATAAGAAACAAAGGGCAAGAGTCAGAAACTAGATGTTACTTAAAATCTATGGGTAATTTATATATTGTATGGTCAGGAAAGCACATGCAGCATCATAAAGTATATACGTAACCATATCTATCAAAATTTATGACGATGGAGTCTCTTCATACCTTCTTCAACTATGAAAAACTCCATTGGAAAGCAACCAACTTGCTTTTCTTTGCCAACCATTCATTCAAACAAAACAAACTATTACAGATGTAGTCGGGTGTTAGGTATATAAACCTAATTTTTAGTATTATTAGAAAAAAATAATCTCTTTGATTTTTGTGTTTTCTTCTAATAAAAATTTGAAAAATCCGTCTCAATCGACACCATCCTCGAATTCATATCATACATTGGCATTAATGTTTTTGAATCATAGCAGCTATCAGTGTCTCATTCTTTTCACATTTGTAGAAATAATTTGAACCATGGAATGTCTCCAACTTGTTCATTTAGACTTGGCAAAGGCTTGCCCAAGTCCTTTTCTAGCTTATAAGCCACTATGTCCGCTTGCTAAGCACATAGGCAAGAACTAGTAATGAGTTAATTCTTCAATTTCGCTGCCATCCACTAATTCAAATGAGTTCTCAATAATACATTATGGATGACCAAATATCGAGACAATCGTAAGACATAACTTGTTCTTCAAGTCACGATATAACATAAAATTTAAGTGTCTCAAAAATTGGTTTCACTATAAAAATAAAAAATATTTTTTAAAAAAATTCAAAATTTTCTCAAAATACATGATGTCCAAAAAATATCAAAGTTATCGTATATGAACAATATCTAAAATAAAAATCGTATTGAGGCACAAATTAATAAAGAATTAAATGATTCAACTTCTGATGAAATTATGAAAATGAGCGATATGATAGAAATAAACGAAAATAATGTGGGGGATAAAATTTCCAGTGCTAACAATCTTAAATAGATGACCAAGTCTTATATTTTCTTTTTATTTTAAGTTGTTTTATTACATCAAACATAAGATATTTTTTTTTCTATCCACGGAGTATTCAAATTAACTGTCGTAATTTAGTGGTTAAAATAATTAAAAAGTAAAGGAAAATATAAATAAGTACCAATATTTACATGAATTTGAAAATATTATGTGAACATCTAATAAATTAGAAAAAATATAGTGATGATTAGCATTGTCTAATGCGGATGACACGCATAAATCCAGAAATTATTATGAAGAAAAATTAAGAATATTTATATGGGTACAATAGTTGTGTTTAATACCAAATAGTCCAAGATATCATTTTCACGATTAAAAAAGGTGTTGCGGAAGAGGGTTTTTTTTTGGTTTGTAACGGATATAAGAGAGACGATCAAGAATTTTTAATGTCACTCTATCAATCCTTTTCAGTCAAAAAAATCTTTTATAGAGAGCTAAACATAAAAATGTATAGACACTCTCTAAAGACGATATGAGTCATAGTCGAACCCCAATCAGACTAAACCACTAAAAACAGCTCAACACCCCCTCCCCCAAAACCGCAACCACTAGACCACATGGCTATCAGTAAAAAGTTAACCGATTTCTTCAACCTGTAAAAGGGGAAGCAAATTTAATTACAATCCATTATTTAATTTGAAATCTAAATCATTTTTTTTTTTTTTATCTGTGGTAGTTATCTATAGATACAGCAGCTATATATAGATAGGTATACACACGGTGAAGCCTTGTTCCACCAACGCCCTTCCAACACCACACAGACACACCCCTGACGACCAACCGTTGAGGAAAAGAAAGCGAGGGAAAATTCTGACTTGTTCCCCCAGTCGACTCGGTCCTTGACTCACTCCATAACTTTCATAGATCGACTGTGATCTGAGGTAAATTCTAATTCATATAGTCAGATCTGAAGTGGATTGGTGTTTTGGAGGCAATTTTGTTGTTTGGAGCTTTGGCACAGGTCCTTTGATTTGTCTTTCAATGCTTTTTTGCATACATCGAGAGCCATTTTGCAATGTCGTTGTGATTTGGTTGTAATTTGGCTTTAATTATCTTTAGATTTGTTTCTTTTCATCTTCAAGCTCGGTTTTTAGTGTTTGGATAACATATTTAATGGCTTCTGTGGATTTTCAGAAGATAAAAATGCAACCATTATGTTTAATTGAGGGATAAAATGTCTGAATTTAATCATGTTTCTGTGTTTGTTTAGATCTGGTATAAGTTTGCCTATATTCGCGATAGGGTTGATTTAATCGGTAGTTTTTGCTTATTAATTCTCTTTTCTGCCTGTATTTATGTGAATTACTTTCTTTATTGCTTGATCTGGCTCTACTGGTGTTTTGGAGGTGAATTCAATGTCAAATGAGACAAACTTTATAGAAGTCCCGCCCTTTGACCTGTTAAGACCTCCTTTGACATCTTTTGCTCAACCTAGTTGTCAAAAGTTGTGGTTGATTGGCAGTCCTTTGGATCATGTTTCACAAAATATACATATTTGATATTTGCTGTACAAAATTCATGTCGCTTATAAGTTTTGTTAAGTTGAATTTCATGGAAATGTGCCAAATTTTATTTTTGGAAATACGATTTCTTTTTTGGAAAATACAATCAAAAGTTTTTCGTTGGCTATTATTGCTTCATAACTGCCCGAAGTCTGAGAATTACTTCTGCCTGATTCTTCTGGGTATTTATTAGGGTCAGCAGGAAAAATTACCGGTATTGATCAGGGTCATCAGGAAAAATAATCCCCTGATCCTCTTGTGCTCGCTATCTATTCTGAGCTTCAACTGTTCTTTTCTTCGCTATCAAATTCTCGGTTAGTAAAAATTGGTGGTATTTGCATTTGATCATTATTTGGGAACATGTGGAAAATGATAACTGGATTTTCTTAGCTGAAATATGATATTACTGGTGAGGCTTTGATGAGTGTAACACCCATGTAAAACCTCATAGTTAGGAAGTTTCTGGCAGTTTGATTTTCTGATTCTTACACTCACTACAGTTCAGCTTTTAAGCTTGAAAAGGGAATTCTTTTATTTTTTTTCCCCTGCATATAACTTTGTTAAATCATCTCTTTTAATATGCAACTAGATTCAGGTGCAGTCTCTGCTACTACATAGTGTAATTCATTACGGAATTCAGTGCATTTGTCGTTTCCACAGCTCCAGCCTGTGGTATAGCTGGAATTTGTTCCTTTTCCAGCTAAACAATTTGGATGGGTTTTTTCTGGCCATTTTCACGTTTTGGTTGATCTTATGACGCGTGAGACAATTTGGCCATTTCCTAATGCCAGTCTTTAAATTTTAGTTTTTTTTATTTCCGATCCTTGTCGTAGACTGGTGTTCTTCCTCTTCCATGCATCTGTTGAAGTCACCCATTATTAGTCACTCCCAGCTTTGCCCCTACAGATGATAGTGAGCCATTTATCATTGTTTCTGATCTACAGATGTCAATGCAGAGTTCTGTAGATGTACATCTCTTTCCCTTCTGGCACCGATAAATATGGAGTGGATCAGAATTCATTTGCTAAATGTTTTTTATACTGCGTTTTCTTAGTTTCTGAGAAGATTTTGCCCTGAGTCTGACTTTATATTTAACAGGATAAACACAACCATCTCAGGATGAAGGCACTTATTCTCGTTGGAGGGTTTGGGACACGATTGAGGCCTCTGACTCTTAGTGTCCCAAAGCCACTTGTTGATTTCGCTAACAAACCTATGATCCTTCATCAGGTACTACTTCTATGAGCATGTCCGTCCGTGTTCAACTTTAATAGGCCCTCGGTCATATTGATGCTTCTTTGTGGATTGCCTTCCTTTTGTAACTGTTTGATTATCACTTTTTGACATGAACAAGGAGATGATACACCTTGTGCGTGGCATATATTCTTCCCTTTCGAAGAACTCTCCCCACCTCCCTAAGGAAAGAAAAAGGAAAAAAAGGGAAAAAACTTGTTTTGAATTCATGATAATTAGGAAGTTTTTGGTAAGGTTTTCTGGTTTCACAGTCCAATGTAGAATATTCAGCATGTTAGGGGATTATATAATATGTTATGTATAACCCCATTTCATGATGTTTTGCTTACTTCTAAAACTCAAGTGAAAACTGAACTTTGTGTCAGCAGAGAAATTTTATGGTTTTTCATGATTATCATTATGAATAGTTTGTGTGTGTGTGTCGGTGTGTGTGATGGTTAAACATGGGTTGATTTAATATCTTCTTTAATCTTATCAGATTGAAGCTCTCAAGGCCATTGGAGTGAGTGAAGTGGTTCTTGCTATAAATTACCAACCGGAGGTAAATAATTGAGGCTCCATATCCCACTTTGTGTATTGCTTGGAGATTTTTGTTGCAGCTACAAAATTGGTGACCACTTGTGGTACCACCTCCTCCATGCAGATTATGCTGAATTTCTTGAAGGACTTTGAGACGAAGCTTGGGATCAAGATCACTTGCTCACAGGAGACTGAACCACTTGGCACTGCTGGTCCCCTGGCTCTGGCTAGAGACAAACTGATAGATGAATCTGGTGAGCCATTCTTTGTCCTTAACAGTGATGTCATCAGTGAATACCCCCTGAAAGAGATGATTGAATTCCACAAATCCCATGGAGGGGAGGCTTCCATAATGGTAACCAAGGTAAACTGGATCCAAATAATTTCTGTTCTACTGTTCTGCGACATCATCTTAGACCTGTGGGAACTTTTCAATAAAGTTAGTTGATAGATAATGATTTTGATTGATATTTATAGGTAGATGAGCCTTCAAAATATGGTGTCGTCGTTATGGAAGAATCAACAGGACAAGTAGAGAGATTTGTTGAAAAACCAAAATTGTTTGTGGGTAACAAGATCAATGCTGGGATTTACCTTCTGAACCCATCTGTTCTTGATCGAATTGAGCTAAGGCCTACCTCAATCGAGAAAGAGGTCTTCCCAAAAATTGCAGCAGCAAAAAAACTGTATGGGATGGTCCTACCTGGTTTTTGGATGGACATTGGGCAGCCAAGAGATTACATCTCTGGCTTGAGACTATACCTAGACTCCTTGAGAAAGAAATTTTCTTCCAAATTAGCTTCTGGACCTCATATTGTAGGAAATGTTCTGGTGGATGAGAGTGCTAAAATTGGTGACGGATGCTTGATTGGGCCTGACGTTGCTATCGGCCCTGGTTGTGTGGTTGAGTCAGGGGTTAGACTCTCTCGCTGCACGGTAATGCGTGGAGTCCGCATCAAAAAACATGCATGCATCTCAAGTAGTATCATCGGCTGGCACTCCACCGTTGGGCAGTGGGCTCGTGTAGAAAACATGACTATCCTTGGAGAGGATGTTCACGTTTGTGATGAAATTTACAGCAACGGGGGTGTGGTTCTGCCGCACAAAGAGATCAAATCTAACATTTTGAAGCCAGAAATTGTGATGTGAAGGTATGTTGTTGGATCTGTTTTAGGGGTTAGTAAGTTATATTGTGTTTGATATTTGAGAATGTGTTCATTATTTTTCCTTTGCTTTTTAATTTCCTCCTTTTCAAGTGTAAAAGTCAGTCTCAAGGAGTCTCGAGTGATTTAAGCTTTGATGGTGAAAGGTCAACGTCTGTTGTGAAGGGTATAAATATGATCACTGGTTTGTAACATGTAATCTTTATATTGTATATAGAAATAAATTATCAGACACTCTCTCTGGTTTTTCGTTAATGGCCAAGTTGGAGCATAGATTTTTGTGTATTACCTGATTGGCATTTTAAATGTATTGTCATGGTGATGTTAGAAATGATGTATGTCACGAGGTTTGAATTTACAGTTCTTTCGTATTACTATTTAAACTACCCCCTTGGAGTTTTTCATGATCGTTCTAGGTACAAATAAAAGGAGCAGAATTGATGCATAGGCTGTTATACTGCAGAATTTAGTTATCTTAAGTTATTTACCAAAGAGGAGCAAAGTAGGTTTGTAAGAGTAGTTAATCCGCTATTGAGCCCAGGCACGACCAACGGATCGAGACTCGCCGGGGTGGACATGACTGGGGATCAAGACTCACCAGGTTAGAGAGAGAGAGAGAGAGAAATAAAACATGAATCACGCTTTGGTACATTATAACATGGCATTGGCCCCGATTGATTGCATTGTTGCACCTTTGAGGTGCAAAATCTAGCAAAGGGCATGCCCAGTCATGTTGGTTTCACAGAAGAAATTAGCATCGGTTGCCTTTTTTTATTGTTTGTTACTAGACCCTCACCTCAATAATCATAAAAAAAATACAAATATAGCACAGGCATGCCCAATAATGTTGGCTAAACAGAAGAAATTAGTGTCGGTTGCTTTTTTTATTGCTTGTTAGATAGACCCTCACATCAATAATCATAAAAAAATATAACGTGGGATCCAATAACTTTTAAGTCACAAACCGTAGGAGTTATTTTCAATCTTTTGACTACATCACCATAAAAAAATTCGTGTGTTTTTATATTTATGTAAGACGTATTATATACAAGTGAATTATCTATCTTTATACACCAGGTGATCTAAGAAAAATTGAAAGAGCGTGTATTAAAAATAATGTAGACCCAATACTCAACAATGCTGCAATATCTATTTTCTCATCAACTACTCCAAAAATGTCCACATCATCTTTCCAAAATATTCATTGTCTTCAAGCTTCTTGTATGGCGCAGCCGTCTACATCTGTCAATATCCAGACAATAAGTAATCTTTTACTATTGGAAACTTCTTGGCCCCTGACCATAATATGTAAAAAAAATAATAAGTTATTAATGGAGAATAACATTTGAATAATGATTAACAATAAATTTTATATTCTCCACATCTACTTTGATGTAGAGTGACAGCAAAATAACAGCAGATCATAGAAGATTTTGAGGGCTAAAGGACTGTGTGACCTACCATGTGAGACGGCATCAACATTGGAACATAACCATGTGCTTATCCACAACAATTAAAGGAAAAAAAAAATAGGGGCAGACCCACAGATTATGGTCTATCTAAATGAAAAAAGTTGTAGCGGGTGAACAAAAATCCTTTCTAAAGCGGGGTTTAAAAAAGAGAAAGTGATAGATAATTTTATCTTCATGTTAGAAAAATTGATTTTGGACTAGGTGTTAACCTAGGTACTTCCGTGAATTTATTGGACCACTGGCTCGTAGTAGTGACCATTGATAGGGGGATACCATTGTAAGTTGCAGGGATGGTAGTTGTATAATGGTGAATGATTGATACCCGGTGTAATTAAGTATTTATATTTCAACATGCTCCCTAACGGTTAGATTATATTTTGGACGTAACACGCGAATTTTTTTTGTAATTAGAGTGGCGGTGAGATTTCAAATACAGGACCTCATGCTCTGATACCGTGTTAAATAAATATCTACTCCAATATTTTAAACTATGTAATTTAAATAGTTATACTTCAATACATAATAATTTTATTTATTTATTAGGAATAACTCATACCTGAAGGCACAATGTAATATGAATGACTTTGAGAAAGAGGTTGGTAACCGTTGAATAAGTCTATTTGATATTATCGAATGAACTTATTAAAATTTGTCTGTTTTATATTATAGATACGGAGACGAATAGATTCTCACAATTCAAAAAGAGTTAGATGGTTTCATACTGCACTTTATTTTGCTGAATCTGTCAGGAGAGCGTCCATTCAAATGGGCTATAGCCCATTAAACTTCTTCAAGCTTTGAAGCCCATTAAGCTTTAACAAGCTATTGGGTGAACGTTGCAATTTGTTCCTTAAGACATTTGACTGAATATGGATCCCCACTATTTGGTCTGAGTTGTGACTGCAATTGGGTTCATTAGAATGGCCCTCTTCAAAGCGTCCAGCTACTCAACTCTTCATCTGATTTTGTGATGGACTCATGGTGGGGCCTCTTAGCCCACACTTTCTAGCCTGTACAGACTCCCGTTCATATTCATGTCATATTAAAATGTGTTTTTAGGTGTGGGTTTATTTTTTAAAATTTATTTGAAAGCAAATTAAATGACATTTGAATTTTTTTACTTAGTTACACTTCCATAAATTATGCATAAATTTTATTATCTTCATCTCTCTCGCTCTCCCCCTATTTTCTCTCTCTCTCTCTCCCTCTCCTTCTCCTTCTCCTTCTCCTTCTCCCTCTCTCTATTACTCTTTCACTATCTCTTCCTTATTTTCTCTCTATCTCTATCTCTCTCTCTGGTACTTTCCCTCTCTCTCTCTCTCTATCTCCCATTGATAATTTTTTTTTTTAAATATTCCATATTTTTTCTCTCTCTCTTTTCTCACTCACTCTCTCCCCCTATTTTTTCTCACTATTACTCTTTCTCTATTTTTCTTTTTCTCTTTTTATATCAACATTATAATAACACAATTACACTAATCAGTCACATCAATCAGTTATAATCTATATAATAAAATAACTTACAATTCAAATTTCAAAAGACAAACAAAATGATTTTTATTTTTCGCAGTTAAGATTTATTAAATTTTATTTTAAAATTAATCTAACGGCTAATATTAACACCCTAAATTTAATAAGGGAAATAGGCCCTGAGAGTGTGTTTGGAGTTACTTGTTAAAAGTACTTGTAGGAATTATTTCTCATAAGTACTTTAAAAAAAATAGTGTTTCAACCGTCCTACCACTACCTCTACCATCACTGACAGCACGCCGCGTCGCTGCTGCTATCGCCACCATCACCGCCTCCATCACTACCACCACCATCACCGTCGCCGTCGCTGTTGCCGTCACCACCACTACCGCCATCACGGTTATTGCCACCCACCACAACCATCACCGTCTCCTACCAACACTACTACCGCCCCACCACCTCTCACTCTCACTACAACCGATGTTTAAATTCATTTATCTCTCCTTTAGGGGTGTTCAAATTTTCGATCGAACGACGGCTAGCCGCAAAAATCGGATAGGAATGTGGAAGAGTTTTTGATCTTCCGACAATTTTCGGGTAGAAATGCGAAATAGCCATCTATTTTCGCATTCCTACCCTACCCTACCCGCAATAATATATATATATATATATAAACTAAAAAATCCTAAACCCTAACTACAGGCGGATCAATTATGATTTTAATGTATTTCATATGATTTAAAGTTTAAACTTAAATTAATTGTTATTGTATTTGTGTAACAATTATGATAGATTGATATTCATACTTTATTGTGTTTTATTGTAATTCTTGATGTAGTTGTTTTAGATTTTAGTGTTAATTAATTTATTGTGTTGTTAAATTGGTGCATGTTATTTAATTAAATTATTAAAATGATCCAAAAATTAATTGTTACAAAAATATTTATCCAATTTTCCTACCCGATTAATCGGGTAGGAATACCACACCTGTCGGGTAGGGTAGGCCAAGAAAAAACTCTTCCGCAAAATATCGGGTAAGAAGACGGAAGAGCATATTTCTTACTCGTAGAGTAGGGTGAACACCCCTAATCTCCTCTATGTTTGTAATTTAATCTTGAATATGAATACATATATGTTTATTGTTTATTATTTTTTATTACTCCGTTCCTTCAGGGACAGACAATAACTAATTATCCTATATACACAAAACAGTTACTCATGTGTTCTAATAGACCAAATAGTTATACCAAACAATTATACAAAATTATAACACCAACTCAATTTATTATTCAGTTATTTACAAAAACTAAAGAGTTGTAATATTTAGTATCACCACATAATTACACAAATCATATACACCAAATTTGGTATAATGATAAAGTCTTTTGTGTAATGATAAACCCAATTTGGTGGATATAATTAGTGTAATTATATCGTGATACTAAATGATATAATTTTTTGGTTTATGTAAACAATTGAATGATAAATTTGATTGATGTTGTAATTTTGTGTGATTATTTAGTTTATTAAATCACATGATTGGTTAATTAATTGGTGTAACCGTGTAACGTTGATCTAAGGATAGAGAGAATAAGAAGAGAAAGAGTAACGGTGACAGAAAATAAGAGAAAAATGGTGACAGAAAATAAGAGAAAATATTAAATCAAATTTTTGCATATTTCAAAAAAATAAATTATCAATATGAGAGAAAGAGATAGATAGAGAGAAAATAGGAAAGATAAAGTCAGAGAATAATGGAGTAATAAATGACCTTTTAGTCTTTTTTTCAAAAAAATGCACTTACGGCCAAATAAGTTTATTTAATGTAGTTCAACTCAATTAAGTCTAAATTTTTGTATCGACTTTCAAATTCCCCTATTAAAATTTATTAAATTTGTTTTAATTTATTTATAATTGAATATAATTAAAGTAGTATTCAATTTTACCGCAAATATTATTGAGTTATATTATATATAATTAAAAAATTATTTATTAAATATGACACATTCCAAACATATTTAACTACGTGGGAGTGACAGCTATATGATTGTTGTGCATCTCCAATCCTAAATTTAACCTAAAAAAGTGGAGTGAGAATCCCCTCCTTTTATAAAACTAACAGCAGAAATGCTGTTGATTGAAACAGTATTGCTTTATACTAAAACAACGTTATTTTGTTAAATAGAACGGATTCGAAAAAGTGTTTATTAAAAATGATTTTAACAAAAAGTGTGATTTCTAAACACACATTTTTTTTTTTGTTAAACATTCTAAACACTCCTTTAAAGGGAGTTCACGTCCTTTTGGAAAAATCATGTTTACAAACCCCACTTTAAAAAATGTGAAATAGGGAGTTATTTC